GTTTTCAACTGGACATGACTCCAGGAAGGCCACGTGAGGCTCGTTCCTCGAGGCTGTCCCCCTCACACAGTGGGAAATCAGGTAGGTCCTTTCTTTTCTTGCCTCTTCCTGCTAGGAACTGCAAAGCAAGCAGATGACACAGGAAAATCTGTGGTAATTCCTGTGGGCCAATTTGTTACACTGTGTTTTGGTTTTCTTCCATAGATGCAGAAGGAATATGGAGGAGAGCTGGTGAGGAGCAACAAATAGCCCATACATATTTTTTCACTTACAGAAAAAATTACATTGTTAAGAGGCCTCAGAGTATCCTGAAGACACAGGATTGTGTTCTAGCCTCTTGCTATGCCATCTGTGAGGATTTTCTGCCCTTTCCTCCCTACGAGGTGGGTGGAGAGAAACTGGACTAACTGAGACTGCCTACTGGGGTGTCCTGCTTTCCAGACTGCAAGGAAGAGCAGCACCCGGCCAGGTACTGAATCAGTCATCTGTCTTGAACATGCACACCAGCACAGATGTCCAAAGCCACCTTAGGGCCTGTAGTACAGGATTGGGATGTAAGTATCTAAAATTCTGTTGTCAGCTTTTGGGGAATGCAAACCCAAAGATGTTAGCCCAGAAGTGTGCCCCTTCCTCTTCACCACTCCCTCTACCCTCCCACCCCCCAAATTAGCTGAGCCGAGGGGTCATAAACTGCCAAGTTCTGCCTGCCTTTTGCTAAAACTGCTCAAGAATTTAAAGGCAGACAATTCTTGGGGGTTATAAACTCGTCCTCTCAAGTCATCATCACTGCTGTAATAGAATTTTTTTTTTTCCAGCATATATCTATTTTTTTCCAGTCCAGTAGTGTTTCTTATCAAAGGTAGCAAAGCTTGTTTTGTAATAATGCTACGGGAAGGACATTATTGCATGCTAAGGGCAAAGTCTGGTGGGTTTGAAAGCTTGGTTAAGCGATAGGAAAAAGATTATAATGAACAACCGCTTACCGAGGCTCCAGGGAGATTAATCGGGATGTGTGCCCAAGGCACCAGTAACAGAATCAGTGTACGCATTTTAGCTAACGATCTGGAAGAGAAAACAGGGCACTTGGCATAGTTTCCGTTGGCATCAGGAACCTGCCTTTGTAAGGTCATGATCAGGCAGCAAAGGGGGAAAGTGCAACATCTGCTTATCTCCTGAGAAACCAGAACACCTTTTAGCCATGAGTAAACTTGCTGATGTCAGGGAACTTCTGATGTGCTAGAGGCAAGCCAGTCCTAGACCTCCGGTGCTTTGCTGAATCAGGAGCCAGGTGTGTGGCCTCTCTCACTCACTGGGTTTGTGTGGGGGAAGGAAAAAAACCCCACATTTCCACTTCTGGTGCCTCCTGGACTGCAGGAGCTTGGCTGGAACTGATGGAACCATGAGCAGCATGCTGCAGGGAGACTGCGTGCTGCCTGCTGGGACCACGTGCTCTCCCTGGGGCTGCACAGCAAGCTGGGCATGATCCTGCCACCTCCGCAGCATGCCCAGCTCCCATGTGCAGCGTGCATGTCTCCCAAGCCTGCCCTGGGTGAGGTATAAAGTGCAAGTCTAGGGATTTCTGCTTGGTAAAACCTGAGGGGAAATGTGCTAGTCCTGTCTCTAGGGTCTGTGAGACAGTAAAGGTGGATGGGGAAAAGAAAACACAATAGGTGTTCTTGTCATTGGTTTGGTTTTCTGTAGTAGCTCATTAAAGTCCCTGGTGTACTTTAGTTCTGGGTTGTTTCTCCCAACACACCTGACACACTGATCTATGTCAGAGTGGTACATCTCTGTAACTGCAAAACTGATCTACTTCCCTGGCATTACAGGTGAAAAAACATTAAGAAGGGGAAAGTCAGCACATGACTGTCACCTGTAGATTTACAGTCTGTCTGGTTTTCACCTCTCCTCTTTCAGGTAAAGTATCTACACATATTGTTTTAGTTACTCTATCTTCTTAAAAACTAAGGGAGATGGAGGACATTCGCAGGCAAACACAAGGCTGCTAAAGCACCAGTCGGACAGGACTGTTTAGTTATCAGATGGAACAGAATGTGCTGTGACTACTGTTCTCTTGCAAACCAGCTATTAAAAGCCAGTTGCCCTATTGCATCACACCTGGGAGAGATGCTTTTGTTTAGCCTGTGGAAAAAGTTATTTGTTAAATATAGACTTGATGATGGATGTCTTTTTTATGTAAAACTAAAACTGATGGTGAATTTTCATGTTCTTTACAGCTCAAAAGCAAATAGGTTTTTTAGGGGGTAGAACATGCACTGATGAAGGATGCTCTTACGATGAATGCTATCCTCATTAGAAAAAATAAGGGGATGTACTGATTTTAGGCACTATGTAAACTCTTAGCAGATGCAACATTAAGCATAAGCAGACCATTGTTTCAGTGTTTCTCCTCCCTGCTACATTTATTTGACAGTATGAAAATAGCTTTGCTCAACCTCATTTTATGAGACAAAATAAAAAAGGCACTCACTTGCACTAGACTTCGTAGAAGAATAAAATAAAGATACTAGACAACCATTTAGAAGATTTTATTATAAAATTATTTCAACATCTACATCCAAGTAAAAGGCTTAAAACTATAGCTCTACTTTCAGGAATAAAAATTCAGTAAATTGTGAAAAAGGTACTGTATTATCTAGGTAGATAGCCCTTAAGTAATTTTTAATACTACAGAGATTCCACCTGGGTTCCTTAAGTGCTATACACATCTCTGTCTACATCATGAATGTGTTCTGCAGCTTCACTGCACAAGCAACATTACACAGGTGTTTACAGCACCTGTGTGCTTCAGTTGCTTTGAGATAGAAGCTACAGCTCCTACCTAGAGTAGCTGCAGCTATGTTACATATGTACAATACACCATGAGATCGTAACTCATGTTCAGGCATTACTGGACACAGAGAGAGGTATGAAATTTGTGTTTACTTGACAACAATGACTACCTAGGTACGTTTTTCTGACCTTGTATTCAATACAAAAAAATCAAGACGTATTCAAGTATATTATGGCAGTGAAGGCAGCTTTTTCACACCTGTATATTCTAGACAAAGATATTTCATTTTTATTATCCATTTCATTCACTGAGCTGAGCTCAGATCACGATCTGGTGACCTTTGGTGACTACAGCTTATTCACTGGGATAAAAAGCCTTGATGCAGCACTGAAGTTGTTACGCTCAATTATCACCAGTACTTCCAAATTTAGTTTTTAAAAGAAATGAAACATAGCAGAATACTGTTTCCTTTTTGGTTTAGAAATCTATCCCAACAGGACTTCTAGAACACAAAGGTAGTTACAGCTTTTCTTGATACTATTTTAAAAAATAATTGATATTCAAAATAGACTATGGAGTAGCTTTCTGTCCAACAAATACAAATCTGTTTCAGAAAACTGTTATACATATTTAAATATGTATTTAAAGATCCTGAGTAGGATGCTTTAAATAGTGTATTTGCAACTTCTTGCAAAGGATCATATAAACTTAAGATAATATGCTAATTAGTAAAAAAAAGGTAATTATTATATAGCCCTGATGAACTTTGACTGGCCTGTTTGGCCATGTCCAACAGTTTAACTTCCATTCTGTTGTGAATTTTACCTTGCTTACATGGGGGAAAATACACAAAGAAGATGGGAAAGGAAGAAGCTTATTGAGGATGGAATATTTTCCCAATAACTCTCTCCCCACTGGCACTGTTCCTGTGACAATTCCCCATTATTTTGCTATTCATAAAAGTTATTCTATGATTTTCTGTGCTCTTCATATTTTGCAACTTCTCGTTTCTTAAGTCTTTTCCATGAACAGTTCTTAGAATAAAATTTAACTCCAACACCACTCTTCCTGAAAACCTTTCAAACAGACCTTCAGTGCTCATCACAACTTTCAAGGCATAGAATCCCCACGTACCCCTCTGAGCTAGTGTGGACCAATACAAATTTGACAAAGATGATCGATTTTGGTTTAGTGTACCCAGCCACTGATCTTCTCACAGAATGACAAAAAGGAACCACAAGACCATGTTTTAAACATGCCGTTGTTCCCCATGTCATGCTTACACAATACAGATCACCAAAACTTTTCTGTTCAACTTGCATGTCTGACTTCAGTTTTTGTAAAATCCTAACCTACTTACTTGACACACACTTTCCGGAGTGCAGGGATGTAGGCTAGACATAGCCTACCTTTACAGCTGCTACAACCAAGTAGCTTTCCACTTCTTTCCACTAGCTTTCTAAAATATCCCAATTTCCTTCTTAGTTACCTCATGCATAGGAGTCTTACTTGGCTAGTTTTTCCATGAACAGTGTCATATAAAAAAAATCTAGCAATGTAACTCACAGAGCAAGGCATCACATAAGAATTAATACTGGAATAAATGTTGGGGTTTTTTTAAAAACATCCTTACATCTGGAAAACACTTTCTCCCTACCTCTCATGGCTCCCTCCCTCCCATTCAGGCTGTATTTGAATGCTGTTTGTATCCTGCTACAAGACTGCCATGCTAAGTGGGTCTTTTTCAAAATGTTATAAATACAGCTTTAAAGTACAGGTGTTATCTATCTACCTGAGAAGTTCTGCAATAAGATGAACTGCTGATAACTATTCTAGGAGAAAAATATACACCAGCATAACTGACACTTATCAGTATTCAGAATTCAAGCATTAAACAGGACTCAAAAATTGCACAACTCTACCACATCAAGTCTTTGATCAGAAGAAAAAAAAAAATAGTCTGATTTTCCTCTACACAGATCTCTTCAAAGACATATGTGTTCCTATTTTTCTCATTTTGAACTCCACAGCAAGATTTCCCATTCAGTGCATACACGCCAGACTATAACATCCTTATCTTCTTTCTCTTCTGCCAGTCCTGAAACTGGAGAATTTGGTTGTTTGGAGGTAGATGAATACTTCCAAACATTAGTCTTTTTTGAGAAGCCAGCTTGATCCCCTTAAGTGACTGGATACCAACTTCTCTTCAGAGAGCTGCACTCTGCTTTGATACATCCTTTGGGTCTTTACTTGGGACACACCAGTCATCTGCCTCTGAGGTAGCCTGGTAGTGCTTGGAAGCCGATTTGTTAAAAACTGGGAGTTTTTCTATTGAATCTGTTGACAGGGCCTTAAAAAAAAAAAAATCAAGAAGGAAAAAAGTTACTTGGTTTCTACCTCTCAATAATGCCACTCTGCAAAAATTCTTGCAGTATGTTTCAAGTGTTAAGCCAGTGACACTACAAAACAAAGTTATTTACACAAATGTTTCTAAAATAGATGCAGTCATTTATATGCTTCAGTATCTATGTTTGTGTTGGATAATTTGTCAGGACAAGTACAGTGAAATCAAATAATATTTATGCATTTTTATAGACTTTAACAGTCACTCTGTAACCTGTTTTCAAGACAGTCCTAGAAGTCGTGGAAAAGAACTTTCATTTACAAAATTCCAGTGAAACTTTAAAGTATGTTTCCTACTTCCTATTTTGCAGCTGAACAAAAATCAATATTCTATTGGGAAACTGTTAAATAGAAATGCAACATAGATATAGCTGAACCAGCTCCTCCTTTTGTACTGCTTCTCTGGTTGTGCTTCAGTGTGCTTTAAACTATGGTTTTGGTTTACTAGAAAAAATTAAAAGCAAGTTCTCAAGAGTAAGCACAAAAAGTAGAAAAGAATACGTAGTCCTTTTTTCCAGATTACTTCTAAAACCAGCAGTGCATGTTACACCAAAGATATTCAGGATTTCTGATATGTGAATCCCACATAAGGGCTATATATGGAAGATGTTCAATAGGACCAAGCACTAGACACTTTAGGATTAGTTATACAGACTTTCTGGTTGTCAGAGTAAAGAAACTTGTTCTCTTGCTTCTCACACCTTTCTTTTCCTGTTACTTCACTTTCTCCCAGTCCTTTCTATTCCATGACACCTTTCTTTTCCTGTTACTTCACTTTCTCGCAGTCCTTTCTATTCCATGAACCAGTAGACAATAAATCTTAGTACCTCCTAAAAACTAATGGGGCTCTCACTAGTAGTTATCGAAGTAGACTAGTTAAAGCTGAGTGACATTTTTAATTCTAGATACCAGTTACAAATCTTACTGGCATTTCTTAATAAAAATGAGAGCTTTTCTACTCATGAACAGAGAATTTGTTTACCTTAAAATGATACTGAGTAGTTGCCTCACTGCATTAATACTAGTTACCAACACCTTTGTTCAACCAAATCAAAATACATACCTTCAAGTAGATAATAGCATCTGTTCCATAACCACATATGGAGTAGAGATTTAGATCTCCTTGAAAGTATTTAGCATACAGACGAGAAATTGGCAAGCCATAGCCAAAGCCAGCCTAAAAATAAAGTACAAGACAAAATTAATTTTATATTTCCACTAGCTCTTACAAGTTAAATATCTGTAAAGTGTTCAGAGATTTTAAACTGTTACAAAGTAACAGTAAAAGTAAGTACAAAGTAACAGTTACAAAGTAATTTTGTAATTACTTATCTTTTAAAAAGAAAACAAAAATTTCTAAGAGTTTCATACAGTATATTGAAACTGACCATTAAAAAAACCAAAACCACAAGAAAGAAAAAAAACCCCAAATCTCTACCAAAAAAGACTAAGTTTATTTATTTTCCCTGCCTTATTTTTGCTAGTACAGCTTGATTAGTAAACTGAGTTTGCTACTAGTAGAAAAAAAGTCTAAGCTTGTTCCAGCTGACCTTGCCTCCATAAAGATAGCAAAATTTGTAAGTTTGAAGACTGAGTGGGAGTGAAGACCAAGTAAATTACTGTTATTGGAGTACAAGGGAAAAAAAACCCAAACCAGTTAGATTCGGGTTGGAATGTTATTTATACCTACACCACACTTCATTTATACCTTTAAAAGCATATTTTTGTCCACTAAGCTAGGTATTAATATGAGTATTGAAAATATCTTACAAGAGGGGTATTTCGACCATCATCCATCCTTGGCCTTGGTGCTGTGGAATACATGTAGCTAAAGAGCTGCTCAATTTTCCTTACTGGAACACCACCTCCTTTGTCTGAGATCTGATTTAAGAGAGAATAAAGTTAACTACAGTCATGTACTAAGAATGGTATTTAAAATGCTGTTATTTGAACAATCCCCTCCAACAGTAATTCATGCAAACATTTGTTTTGCAAATATTCTTTTTCAGTTAAATAATTGTGCTAAATGAAGGCTATCAACAAAAGGTTCATGCATAATAGTATCTTTGATCTGTTGTCAGAGGCTGCAAGTTCTAACAGAATTTGCTGCAGCAATGCAATCATAAAGATTACATTAAATCTATATTGCAGTAGGCCAACAGAAATACCTTAATTGCCAGGTCTTCTTTTCCTAGAACAACTGTCACTTCAATTGGAGAAAGGGAAGGACTGTTTTCTTGGAATTCAACGGTTGCTCTCATTGAATTCTATGGAAACAAAGGTTACCATTATCAGAAAGGGTTGGATCTGTGCACTTAAAATCATATGTCTGTTACGCAGAGACTGAGCACAGTTACCCTCCATTCCTATCAGTGCCCAGCTTCCAAGAAACACACTTAGCAATTCAGTGTAACAGGAACAGAGGACGTCTCACACCTAAAATTGACTAAGCATAGCCAAGACTCTTCTGTGCTTGAAGGATTACACTGTTCTTGCCCAGCACACAACCCAGCCAATGTAAATTGAATAAATCCCTTTAGAGTGACCAGGTTTCTGGAGAAGAGCAGAGTTCAGCGGTTGCTAAAGGCTGCCAGAATTCTGCACCCCATGCTGGCAGTACATTAGGTCAGCCCCATTCACTACTTCACGATCTATCACCCAAGCCACAGAAAAGGCACCAGGGCAAACCTGCACTACAGATGTAATCTCTAAAAGCAGAAGGCTGGTGGTGGTGACAACCACATGTCCTATTTTAGACACTCTCTCTCTCCCTTACCCTGCCCCATTTACTACCACACAAAAAAGCCCAAATTCTCTCCTACATACTGCAATCATGCCTTTCCCAACTGCCAAAACTATTTCCCCAAGTAAGAAAATTTTAGAAATCTCACTGTCCTATGCAAAGCTTTATTTCATTCAGATCCAGCTAGAGATTTTAAATATTGACACTCCAGCTCACACTACTAAGGGAAGAAACAGCTTATATTGATGTACCTTAAATAGCTCAAAAAGCATGTGAAAAAGATGAGATGGAACATACACGATATTAATTGGCTCTCCTGGAAGTTTTCCTAGAGGAAGAGAAAAAGATAAGCAAGATTTAAAAGGGTGATAGAATTTTTCTGTATTGTACGCAAATTTTACAATAAGCAAGTTGTATGCCAGAACAAATAAGAAAATAAATCAAGTCTCAGTTTTGGTTTGTGTCCCCTAAATGGGCAAACAACTTTATGCACATGTAACAGTGTTTAGATTGTAACTACCACTGGTTTAACAGCAGTTTATTTTCAAATAAACAAAAAAAATCAAGTATTAATATCATTTTTCAAGTAATAAGATGGTAGAGATTAAGCAGATTGCCTGAGATCACACACATGCAGGCAGCTTGGACCACTCAGTCGGCACCACTCCCTCTAGCAACTTATGCTACTTTTAAGTACAGGTTAATCTTAATTCTCTCAAATTCATAAATATTACCTCAGAAAATCTAATGTATAAGATACAATGACATTTGAGTTCTATCACAGGAGATTAAATCAGATGCTTGTAACAGAAAAGGAACTGGCTATGGAAATGGGAGCCTTTTGATTCAGCAAAAGTAGCAGTTTGGCTATTGATCAAAAGAGACGTAAAAGCTCTCATCTTACCATTCACTTGATTAAGTTTCAGTTCTGGAGATGTTAAGTAATACTGGTCACACAACATCTTGGAACTTTCAAAAGCATCTGAAATATTTATTTAAATAAAATATGTGAAATGTAACGTCAAACACTGTAGAAATTCATTTTAAAAACAATATTTTCCCATGTATTAACTGCATTAGCTGCTAAGGTGTTACAGATTCTAAACCTGTGTTTCAAAGAAATGATAACACTGCATCCACTGTGTGCATTAAAAACTGAGAATAAATAGGCAGTTACAGCAGCACAGGTAAATCTTTAGTACAATTTGATAATTCTGTAAAACAGATGCATCTGTTATTTACCAGGAGGTAAGGTTAATCTCAGGATCACAGACAACTTTAAAACCTACCTCATCTGTCACTTGCTAGGCCTTATTCCAACACATTTTTTCACTGCTACTTTGTATTTTAAATTCTGTCCTATAAAAGCTCATGTTTTGACAGACTGCTTTCAGTTATTTCAATAAAAAACAGTCAGCATCCTATACAATATGTTGGTTACCCAAATTGCTTGCAATCAGATACAAATATTGATCATGAAGAGAAGTGTTAAGGATCTGAGAATACGTACCATTCACTACTTCAACAACATCACAGCAAGGATCAATACTTCCAATGTGCCTCGGGTGCCCTGAGCCGGATTTATCATCAAAAAGAAGGGCTGTTTGAGATGAAAATAATACTGCATTTAATCACAAATACTGTATTATTAAAAATGCTTAAATTTAGGCTAATACAGTATGATCACAGCTTATAATCACATAGAATACTGAGTGTTGTTTATGCCTTTTACAAGTTAAAAATGCTATCTCCTGACAGCAAACTACGTTGGCTTTTCTGTAGTTCAACACCTAAAGGCTTTTTGGGTGCAAGGAACGAGATCCCTACGTACTCCACACAAGACTTACCACAATTAGTCTGTAGTCTAGAAAACAAGTTTTACTGTTACTTTTGTAAGTCACACATTCTGCTTCTAATTTTTCAGTGTCACACAAAACCATCTGAGGCAGATCTCCAACAGTTTTAAGAAACGTTTACATTAACATGTTCCTCATTAGGTTGAAGTTTTTCCTCAAGTTAAAATCTCTACTTACTGTGTTGGTTCATTAGCATCCGGGTGGAAATACGGCTCATGTAAAAACGATCCAAGAAATACTGAATGTTTTGATTGGTGACAGGATCTATTTTAAAAGTGTCTTTGTATTCAATTACTCCTTGTGCCATTGTAGGAACCACATCATGATGTCTGTTTCGGACTCTAATTAATGTATCTATAAAGCTAAGTCAAAAAGAGATCTTTTTAGAACATTATTGTAAGGCTACATGGAAGCAAGCTTTGTACAATGTCATTATCTAATCCAGCAGCAGCACAGATAAGTGTGTAACAACCTTAATATTAAAATTCCGTCTATTTTTTTCGTTGTTTTAAAAGTAATTCCTCACTGACCTAAACCAGAAGCATTTGATATTTTAAATACAAGAGGTGTAATCATTAGCCATGTCAAATGCACTACTCATTCATAATAGTTTGAACAGAGGAGAATGTGAGGAGGAGAAAAAGACCCCTAGCTGACATTTTGGAAAGAAGCAGGGCTGTGACACCATAGATAATTTTTATTAATATCTCTCTGCCATGACAGTTCAAGGGGCAGTAGGCCCCTGAAACCAAGCTGCAACAGGTCATATTTATTTGCAATATTGCTAAACATGATCAGAGATTTGAACCAGCTTGCTCTATGCACAGGACTTCATGCTAGATTATCACATTCAGCTCATGATAGCTGTCATTCTAAGCTGACTATATCATGAAAAGTGGAATGCGAGATCAAAAGTTCAAACAAACAAATGAAAAGCTTACTCAGATAAGACTTTTTGGTCATCTGGGCTTTTCTGATGGAACTCCACAAGCTCCATTAGGCTTTGGATGTACCTATTGAAAAATCACACAATATATGCTATTCATTTGATTTTTATTAGTCTAGGAACAGGAAAAATATTTTGTCCTGTTCAAATCATTACTCTTAACACATCAGGTAGAAGTCTGAAGTATCTTTCAAGTAATAAAGTTCCATCCAAGTATGGAATCACAGATGGACATCTCTTGATTGCCTGAACCCTAGAAGTTTTAAAGTCTTTTCTTGTGTCTACCACCCAGAAAGGAATCTAAACCCTCATTTTAGGTACACAGGATCCCCTTACTATTCTTGAGAAGAGGGGTGTTTCAAAAGAAGATACACATGATAATTGATCAGGAAGCCACCTAAGCAAAATTTTTTTCAAATCTGACCAGCTTTGACACAAGCTAAGTACTTAAGCCTCATGTGCTAAGATCTGACAGCCTCGATGCACATTGCAAAGGCATAACTGTTTGCTAGATCAAGAACAGCTTCTGGATCTCACTCTAATACTTTTGCCCTTTACGTCACCCATCCTTGCAAATGCTGCAGCTGTGCCAGTAAAGCAAAGTTAAATCAGATTCAACCACTGTGTCAACTGCAGAGATTATGTTAGTTGAATTCCAAACACCCACTGCACAGGCCAAGGCAATATGCTGTGGAACGGAAGCTGTTAGTAATTCCATCAGTGAGAGAGACCCAAACAAGCCTATAGCTTGCTCTCTCATCTTTATGTAGCTCTGAGGGTTTGTAATGCTACATGAAAACAGAATGTTTTATTCTTTTGCTTCTTAGAGTAAGAAGTGAGATTTGTTCTACCAGCTATTTCAAACTGATATTTTAAAGTAACAACATAACCATGTTGGTTTTCCATTTAATTTTAGGATGGTAGAAAAGGACAGGGTGTAAAACAGCTTGCAATTCAGCTTTGATTAAGGACCTGTGTTTTTAGTGTATTTTGTTATTGTCTTCTACTATTCAAAAGAGTCTGTGGAAACCAAACTGTCAAAGCTATATTATTTAACAGGCTGAATTCAAGTAGTTCTTACTTACCAGCTTTTTACTAATTGTACTGATGGAGTGTTTAGTAATTTATCAGGAAGAAGATCAATTTCTCTCAGTATGTTTGCAAACCTCACAGGAAGTTCTTGTCGCAAAAATGCAAAAGAAGTTCTCTCACATCCATTAGTTGAGCCTATGAATAAATCCAAAATAAAAAATTTGTAAAAAAAGAAGTTTCAGGATACAATTGCCATCTTTGCACAGACTTCGGCACTATACTCCTTTGCAATCATCAGACTATTACTGGCCAGTTCTCCTAGGTGTACATACACGTTTGTGCTGAATGTTGTTTACATGGCAGCAGGACACAGCACGTTCCTGGGAGGAACCCTTGTACGCTTCCCGCTTCGACACAGGACTCGTCTGTAATCCTGCAGAAGGAGCGCTCCGGCCCTTGCCAACACGGGCGGCTTCGGGCTGACGTCTGCAAGTGACGCCTGAGCTCGGACTTCGCCGCTGCCAAGGCGGTAATCGGATCTGGGTACAGCTTGTTCGCTCCACCCGGACACGGCCAACGGCTCCGCCCCGCTAACTCGTACCGCCGAACGCGAAAACACCCAGCAGAGGCTGCACCCTCAGTGCCCCCGTCCCA